ATCTTAGGCTTCATGATGGCTGCAGGGGAGGCAGGACCAGCTGTCCTCACAGCCTTGGATGGCAGAGTCTGGGGAAAGAAGAACGTCATCTACTGAAAAGATGTAGGGTTGCTAACCTTGAGTGGGGAAGAGTGGGGAAAGGTCGTTAACATCTCTTGGACTAGCAGCAGCAAATAGAGGCAAAAAGAAAGTCTGAGGCAAGGAGCCTTGGGTTCTTTTTAGGCATCTTGTGCATTACTCTTTTCTTCCAACAGATCCACAGACCAGCATGGCTGCTACTGCCGCTGTCAGTCCCAGTGACTACCTGCAGCCCGCTGCCTCCACCACCCAGGCAAGTGGGCAGTGGGCTCTGAGGGTGAGGGCGCTGCATCGGCCTGGACAGACTCACTGAAGCTGCCATTAAACGACAGCTGAAAACTCACTGTACTGGCTCACTACAAATACCCTAGGTTATGAGACCAGAGAAGGTTCAGTTATCTACTGTTTCTGAACTAAGAAACCATGGCTACTTAACCCAAGAGGGTTTGTTCCTCCTGTTGTACCCCGCTTCTCCTCCCTCCCTCCCTTAATCCTTCCTCAGTTGAGGAATCAGGGACCCCCTAATCCCTGTGGCCAAGGGGAATTCCACCTAAGAGCTGAGGGTGCCTCCTTACCTGTTAGAAGCAAGGCCAGAGGGAATTAAGTAGTCAGCTCACGCTGTTAGTTCACCCTGTCATGGGGTGCTTTCGAGGAGCTCTTTCCTGAGAAAGACATCTCCCACCTTTTATCCCACAGTTACTCAGTGGAGAAACCAGCAGGGAAGGGGAGGCAGAACCACTGCAGGGGGAGGATGCTGGCACTCTGCCTGCCACAGAGGTGGGGAGGAGCCTGTCGAGAGGAGAGGATCAAAATGGGCGAAGGGCAGCTGAGCAACAGGCCCTCATGTCTCATTCCTTATCTCTGCTTGGTTTTTGCAGGACTCCCAGCCATCTCCCTTAGCCCTGCTTGCCGCAACATGTAGCAAAA